CTTGTTTGTAAGCATTATACTTTCTCCAGCCTGGAGAAGAGGAGGCTGAGGGGAGACCTCATCGCAGTCTACAACTTCCTCGTAAGGGGGTGTCGAGAGGCAGGAGACCTTTTCTCCATTAACACCAGCGACAGGACCCGCGGGAATGGAGTTAAGCTGAGGCAGGGGAAGTTTAGGCTGGACATCAGGAAGGGGTTCTTCACAGAGAGAGTGGTTGCACACTGGAACAGGCTCCCCAGGGAAGTGGTCACTGCACCGAGCCTGACTGAATTTAAGAAGAGATTGGACTGTGCACTTAGTCACATGGTCTGAACTTGGGTAGACCTGTGCGGTGTCAAGAGTTGGACTTGATGATCCTTAAGGGTCCCTTCCAACTCAGGATATTCTATGATTCTATGATTCTATACTGATTCCTGCTGTGCCACTTCAATTACCATGGTGTTTACCCAAGCACATTTTCTCTTTTATTCTTCTTGTGTGACTTCTATAAACATTTTCAGTCTGCATGTCTGTTTTTCTGTTGTCCAACTTGGCAATTTCTTGCTCTTTAAAAAAAAAATAAAAAAAAATTGGAAACCATTTTGCTAAAATATAATCTTCTCCAGTCTGTAAATGTCCTGTCTGGTCTTCTACCACACTGGTATCTTGCAGGTCAGAGACCTGCCTGATGTGGTTTGTAAGCAGCCTGTTTATAAACTGCTGCTGTTCAGTGGGTTCTTAGTGTAGTGCTGCTTTGACAGAACCACAGATGGACTTGGAGTCATTTTCTCTATTCAGACCAAAAATACTAACATCTGAAATGCTATTGTTCTGTATGACTGACATAAAAAGATCAGAGGAAAAATCATTATTGTTGGAACTGTGAAACTCCTGCTCAACGTATATGCTAACTTTTAGTTTCTTCTTAGTTTAGTTCTGCTTTGTCAACAGTTGCAGGTGTGTTGTTTGGCTAAAGCCTGAGTTCGATGGTGTAGGGTGAGTAGGGAAATATATGCTTCCTTGTTCTGTGTCTTGAGAAGAAATCTTCAGTTCTGCAGAGTTCGTCAGGGAACGTCTGTGCAAGTGCAGCTACTTTTTATTTATATATTTGTAATGACTTAATTTAATTAGAAGGTGAACTGCAGTAGTGGCTTTGGTAGGGAAATAGTCTCTCATTTTAAAACTATATGCATATATATATATATATATATATTTTAAACTCTACACTCTGTGTCACCTGTAGTCACTGAATATAGTGTGCTTCTCAAATCTGTCTGGTAATGGTCTCACTCCCAAGGGTGTTGCAAGTCCTAGTTAACATTTGCAGAGTAATTCCAGGTTCTGAATTCTGGGGTGGAAATATAAATGCCTCCTGTCCAGGATATCTGGGATCCCTAAACCACTGGACTGTACTAGAAAGATGTGAGAAGACTTTGTTCAGAGCTTGTGAATCCAAGTGGGTACTAAACTCTGAAGGCTGAGGAAGCTGCTATGAAAGAACCAAGCTAAAACTTTGTTTCCTTTCCAAGGACGGTTTAACAGTAATGTTAGCATATTTTAGACAATGGATAGCTTGATGTCTGAAGTCATAAATTTTTTAAAGTAGCCATAGTGTGCTGCATTTTTTCTTGATCTGCGCTTAAATTTTCATTTACTTTTATATGTTGCTGGCTGAGGGCCACTAGTTTTCCATCATGAGATATGGCTGCTGAATTAGATTTTTTTTTATTATTATTTTTTCTTTTTCTCAGCTCTGAATAAATGTGCGTTTTCAAAGCAGGTGTTTGGCTCAGAGTAAGAGAGGAGATGGTTCTGTAGGGAATACTCTTGGCAAAGCAAAGCCGTAAATAGGTCTTGTGTCAGTGTTTGGTGTAATGTCTTGATATGTGTCATCATGAATTATATATTATTTTGGATCTATCACTTCTTCCACTGATAAGGGACATTGCTTTTTTGAGTGAGTTTTCTTCTTGGCTTGAAAGATTTACCGATACATTGAGATTCCCTATATTGGAGATTCAGATGAACTTTGAGAACTTGAGATAAGAACTATAAATCTGCTATAAACTAGGAAGCCATTTTTCGAAGTGTGTATTTATTGACAGAGTTTGTACTAGCTTATTCTTCTGCTTCTCATTTGTGTGCATCAGAAGAGCTTCTCTTTCAATGTTTGTTCATGCTGTTGAAAAAACTTAATGTGGGATATACATGTACAATATATATGTAATTTATCCTCATTAAAGCATCACCAGGTATTCCCTCAGAGGGATGAGTGGGGAATGGGTATCTTCCTGTAAATGTCTCAAGTACTGCTCTTAGGTTTTGTTATTTTAAAATACTTTATATTTGATGATGTTTTTAAAAAACACCTCTAGACGTAAATCCTTATTTTGGAGCTCTAAAGTAGTGTTATTAGCAATTAAGTTATTAACAATTTATGCAAAGTTGCCTTCAGTTAAGTGTCTTGAAAATAAGATTGCTTAGTGGATGGTATAAGAGCAGGAGGCAGGGAAGCCACTGTTGAATTTTCATCAAGAAAAAAAACCAAAAAACACTCTGCCTCTTTGATGAAAGGAGACATAGCATATCATTGATCTAACTTGCCAAGACAATGGCATGAGAGAATAGCTGGCACAGCCATGCAACTTGCCACTGCAACCCCAATGGGAAAATTGTGCCTGAGCAAATACATATATAAACAAGATTCTGAAGTGCAAACCTTAGGCAGACATGTGCAAAGGCTGTTTTTTAAGTTGTATACAATGATTTTTCTTTCCTAACATTAGTAGATTTATTTTAATCAGTGTAAATCTACTGATAATAAAATACTTGAATTTGATTTTTGAAATCTTAAACTTTTCAAAAATCTTTAATGAAGGCCAGGGAATAGAAATTAATGAGTGAAGGAGATCGCATTTCTAGCATTTGTTTTTCTCTGTTGAACCCAATTAAGATGCATTTTTCCCCTCTGTTTTTCAAATCCGTGTACTTTGTAAAATACTGACACAAATTCAGGTTGAAATTGTGTAACAGTTTCAGAGCAAGAAGCTTAAATACAGAATTCATTTTCTGTTCAGGTCTGCTTTCATCCCATTTTATGGTTCAGCTGAGTTAAAGATAAGGTTCAGATGACTTCCCCTGGGGATCTATTAGATCCAACTGGAGACTTCGCAGAATCACTCTCCTGCCTTTTACCCAAAGGCAGATTAGTAGCTGGTTTACCCCTTTTTGCTGATATAACCATGAAATTAATAATACAGTTTCACTTCTAGCACTGCAGAAATGCTTTGTATTGTGGTGGCTTCATCTGTGGTGTTAGTTCTGGCCACTGAAATATGTGGTAGTGGTAGCATTTTAACTTTGTTCATGTTGCCATAGTGAAAGATCTTTTAGATGACATAAGCCTCAAGACACAATCCCAACATTAAAGCAGTAAGTCTCCTTCTTCATGCCACTTCCTCTACTCCAAACACTCAATTATTAATCAGCTGGCATGGGCATTATGGACAAATCTATTGAAACTTACAGTCACGTTGTAAAAAGGACAAGGAGATTCCCCCATTGTAACTGTGAGATGATTCAGAAAAATCATCTTTAATCAATTGTGCAGTGGAGAGGGATGAGTAGAAACATGTTTGTCTGGCATGGACCACTCAAATTTAATGGCTGCTAATATGAAGAAAGAGAAATTAGGAATACTTCTTATTTTATTATTTTTTAACCTGCTCTAGGCCACATCCAGAGATTTAACTCCAGAGCTTGCTTCAGTTTCTGGAACCTATGACACTTTTAAGGACAATCATTAACTTACTAAATATTGAAACAGTCTAAGTCAAGGTAGCAACGCTTCCTATGCTTTCTAGTTACTAAGGACCTGACTCTTCAGCAGCTGCAGATTTCTTAGCATCTGTGAAGACTGTCCAAGGAAAGCACCCAGTAGCTAAGCTGATGCTGTTTTGGTTGGGTCTGCTTGAATCATAATAGTTTTCAGAGCACATCTAATTTCTGCCTAGCCAAATCAGCATGAAAGCAGGGGAGCTTGGTTGAACTTTGTTTTGTGGGGGGGTCTTTGTTTTAAGCATGTCTTAATCCCTTGCACTTCAGAAGATGCCAAGCTGTAAAGGGAAAACGGAATCTTTGCCAGTCATGATCAAGCATCCAGCTTGCTAGTCAGCTGGATATGAATATTGAGCTTATAGTGATGGGACGTCGCTACGTGGAAAAATGCCAAAGCCATCTTTCAGTATAAGAATAATACCTAGATGGTCCCATAGTATTAAATGGTAGTAAATGATAGACAGAATAAAGAAGTCTTGATATTGTAGTGTCTCTTGCTGAACTTATGAAGGAAGAATGGTTAAGTACTTCGGAGCTTTGTATCATGTGCTGACTGGCTGCTGTGATCAAGTGGAATTGATTTTTGGCTACAGTAGGTGTCATAAGAAGCAAACAAGTATGCTTTCTTTTTGCAATTGGATAAAAATGATGAAAGCACCCAGTGATGTACAGCAATGAATCAGGTCAGCGATGAATTCTTATGTCTGTCAGAACATTTGGTGTGTGGAGAAACAGAAGCAAGACAAAACCTCTTTCTCTGGGGGAGAAGCTTTTTTTTTTTTTTTCCTTTTGTGAGGGGGTGTTGTGGGTGGCGGGGTATTGTTTTGCTGCAGATCTAAACCTAGGTAAATTTACATGGGTATCTTTGGAGGTGGTTGTCTTTCAGGAATCCCAACTCAGACTGAGAATAAATTGAAGCAGTTTTTATTTGTTTTCTTAGATTTTAGTCCATGATTCTGCCAGGAGACTCATGCAGACACAGTGGTCTGTCTGCGTAAAGCTGCTTGCAATATGGGGAACTGTATGTTTTCATTTTGTCTTCCATAATTGGAAATAAATCCTCTAGATTGAAAATAGAATGTATTGCTTGTTACATTTGGGGGGAAAATGTGACCAATATAATAGTGTTGTATTTTTACATTCTCTGAGATGAATGGATTCTCTTTCTTACATTTCATTTGCAGAACTGCTTTCCAGCTCTGCTCAGCTAGACAAGATGAGGAAAATGGGAACCAAGTAGGAATTTTCTCACCCAGATCTGTAAGCTGTTTTCAGCATTGTTGATGTACAAGCTGCTCTAGTTTTGTTCCAACGCAATATAGGTGAGTTTAAATTAAGAAACTTATAATTGAATTTTTAAAGGTATAATTAAATATGATGAAGTTTAGTATAACAATTTCTATTCCTAAAGCCTGATTCTTCTGTGACTTTGTGCTGGCATAAATGACAGGCTATTCAACCTGGGGTTCATCCTTCAGTAATAAGTGTGAAGAGAATCAACAAAGCCTCTGGTTTTCTCCTACTACAATGCATATATTCAGTTTGCTATTCTATCGATAGTACTGATGAATTTGTCTGATCTTGATTAATGCAGTGAGATACAGAATATGTATAGGTACTTAAAACAACAACAAAAACACAAGCAAAAAAGAAGACCCAAAACTGCTATACATCTCATGCCTTTGCCCAACAAGGTGTAATTTGCATGAGTAGCCCCCTGTCCTGAGTGAATCTTAGGTAGTCTTCTGTGTCTGATACAAGTGGTGTGCATTACTATAGCCACTGGAAACAAGTCTTTTTGCTTTATTCAGGTTGATGCGTGACATGATTTTAGTGATGGCATCCCTAGTGTGTTGCATGTGGGTGGCAATTTTCTCTTGGTGTCAGATATTGTTTGCAGGCTTTGAAAAGGCTGATGCGTAAATGTAACAGAGGAGTAGATTGAAGTGTGGGACAAGAAATGTATTTTATTCAATGGCACTTCAATGTTTGCAGTACTGAACTGAAACAGGGTGAGTATATTGAAAACTGTTGCCCAACTGGCATTTGTGTAGGCTGTCCCAGGAACGCACGCATGGGGAGCATCTACAGGATGCTCTAAGCATTTGCAGGATTCAGAATAGAGCTGGCTGCTGCTTGCCCAGCTCAGCATGCAGGCAGACAAGCTGTTCCACATGTCCATCTTCCTGCAGGAGTTCTGTTAATGCTGTTGGTCACTGGAGTGCTGGTGAATTTCAGGTAGATGTCATTAGTAGCCTCTTTGCCCCCATAAAAATTAGGGTTAGGGCTGTTTAGGTTTGGGTTTGTTTACTTAGAAGGGGATCTTAGAACATTAATTGTGGATGTTGTAGCAGACCAAGATCCAGTGGCTGTTGTAGTTCAGTCACAATTTACACAGATGGAGTAATTAGGTTGCATTAGCTTGAAATGGGCAATGGGGAAGGAGGTGCCCTCTGCATTTGTAGATTTCTTGTTTTGTCTTCTTTCACTGTGATGGTGGTCACTACAGCTATGTAAAATACCAATTATCTAAAAAGGAACCCACAGGAGTCAGGGAAGTTCAAAGCACAGCTACTTTCAAGAGACCTCCCGATGCCTTAAGGGAGTAAAGTTTGGCAGTCATTCAGACAGTGTAGGTTTGCTGTGTCCCCAGTCCCAAGTTGTGCTGGTTGGCATGCTGATGGAAATACTGAAAAAAAACATGACGCGGTATTTGCACTCTGATTTTTATTTATTTATTTATTTTTCCTTAAGCAACCAAACAGTACTCAGGAGAAAAGCTTCTAATAATGAGCTGTTTTTTCCCCTAAAAAATTCTTTAAAAAATATTCTTATTTTTATTTTCTGCTAGTATTGCTGGCCATAGGAATATAAACTTATGAACTATCTGGATGCAAGAGGTGAGACTTTCCCTCTTTCATTGATAGCTCTGAAAAACAGAGTCCTTCCAAATGTGTTCCCTGAGTACTGCGTACCAAACCCCTGATGTCATGTGAACAATAACGGACTACTTTTCTCCTCCACTGTGCCAAGTTTTTTTGTACCATTTCAAGCCTCTTCTAAAAACTTCTCTCAGCTTAGCTTTTCTTGAGCTCTTGTTGCAAAAACTATACTTATAAACCTGTCATGGAACTATGAATAAGCATTGTAAAGCTAAAAATTCAGATTTCCACAAATTGCAAGCCAAATTTTTTTGAGTTCTCTGTTGACCTGATGGTCTTAGATAGGGTTCATGGATTTATGGATAATTTCTACTCCCACAATACGAAGCTTAAATGTCATCTTGTGAGGAGAGAAAGAGGTCTTGTATTTCCTGGAGTGGATCCTTGGACCAAAATCTAAAAAAGCAAGCTTTTATTTATTTATTTATTTGTTTGTTTTTAACCTGTCCTGAAGGTGCTGGTTTTTGTGTGTGTATTACTGTCTGAAAAACAGGAATAATGAACGAACGTTAATAAATAGGATGAAATTTCACAGTCACGAATGGCATGTAACTGGGTTTCTGGCTTCTCTTACTGTGTTATTTTACACATCCAGTGAGGACCGGCAGCTGTGATTTAGTGCCTTCCTGGCATTCACACCTGTAGGTGGCAGCATCTTCCTGTTCTATGGGCAGTGGGGGTTGGTTCCCGGGTTTCCAGTGTGATTAGAAAACTGATAATTAGAGGCAAGATCTTCCCACATCTTTTCTAAGGTTAACGTTCTCCTTTGCTATGATGCAAATAGGCACCAGTGCTTGTTCGACACATCTGTCGAACTAGCTTACTCTTCGTCCATTTGCTTTAAACATGGCTTCTCCCTTTGGTTCTTGGTCTGTTTTTCTCCTATTTTAATTAGTTTCATTCTGTTTTCGGACTTCCAAGGTCTAAGATCTGCTTGAAGGTAGAATCAAGGACTTGGAGAAGGGCTCTGCATTGCTGTACTGGCAATGTTGTAAAAAAGAGCAATCAATGGGAACTGGGAAACTATTCATCTTTTCTACTTCCGTTGAAATATGTGTATCATTGTTGAACCCTGAAAAGGTACAAAGTAGCTGTAAACAAATCAAGTAATGTTTTGACTTAATGTTGTTTTGATTTCTTTGGGTTCTTCATTCTCTGAATTAAGGCTGTCAGAAAAATAGACATTGTTATCAGCTTGAAATATAAATCTGTGTTGCAGTAACATACGAATATTAATAAGTAAGAGAAATTAAATAGTCTTAAATTTATTCTAGCAAGATAAGCCAACAAAGCAATAGCGAAACAGTCGGAGAAGTCAGAATAATAAGAGGAATGATTCTAGAAAATACTGAGAGAAGGGTACTTAAAAAAAAAAACAAAAAACAAAAAAACAAACCAAACCAAAACAAAACAAAAAACCAACAAGCCTATATTAGGGCTATTAAACTTTATTATTATTATATTGAATTGGATCTCTAGTTTGTGTTGAGAGAGTCCATAGAACTTGTACCATCTGAATATTCTCTTATAAGGTTTCTCTTCCAGCAGAGACACAGGGCAACAACTGCTGTGCCTCATTGCTGGGTGTTCAAACCGGAGTCTGCAAGAGGACCAAGTGTAGGCAGTGGCCAGAGGCAGGTGGAGGGAAGCTTACATGATGGCTCACAATAAGCCCAATCAGCCGAGAAAGAGGTGGAAGCAGGTGCCCAATGTGTCTCAGATTGGTTTTCGCTACCTGGGGATTCCCTTTTCATGGAGGATTCACAGCTACACAATTAGAGCAGCTTTTCAGTGCATGAAGCAGCTAGAGAGGTATTCAGTCCACTGTGTTTCTCTACTGGTGGTATAAGAATCAAGTCAGTGTTCCAGAAGGACACTACCAATATTGCTTCGGATAATACTGTAGCTTTATCTGCCTGGCTGCTGTCCAGTAACTGCTGCTTATCTCAGCACTGATACCAGGCTGCATCTTTAGATTTGCCCTTTGCACTGGAAAATGAAGCCCATGTGTGTTTTCTATACCTGTATCAGGGATTGTATCATACATACTAAATCTTTCCTCAAAAGGAATATGAACAGTACCTTTTTCTTGTGCAAAGCACCCATTATGCTACTCTATAGCTTATAATCTGTTAGATGAAACTGAGAAATGCCTCAGTTTTGTATGTCTAACTCATCTTCCTCCATAATGTTGTAGAAGATTAAAATTCAAAATACATTGTTTATGCTATCAGGAAAAGGCACTATGTTTATGACAGTGACATAGATTTGGCCTGAAAAATTCAAATACTATACTTTCCTAAGGTAGAAGTATTCCAGACACAGGCTTCTTAGTGTTATTGTAGGATTACATTTGCTTTATGAAGCTCATAGTCATTTTCTGTCTCCAAGGAGCAGAAACTGGATGTGGTGAAGGCACAGACAATTACTGTTGGTCACCAGTCATCACTTTCTAACTGCTGGCTGGCTAGTCAAATATAAATTTAGGACATATCTATTACTTTCCTCTGGGTGTAGGGTTTTAGGTATCTTAAATATTTTACAGCAACTTTGCTTCCCTTCAACACTGTGGACAGCCATTACAGCGGTGCTTAAGAATCAGCTCTCAGGATGCGTTGTTTTGCTGCTATGGTATGAGCATTTTGGAATTTTCAGTGTTGTGTGTTCTGGGAGTCCTTTTGTATTTCAGTGGGATTTTGGGGTTAGGTCTCGCTGGAACCTAACTTCAGGGTTTTAGCTGCCAGTCTTCTCTTTATCTGAACACCAGAATATTTCTCACAGAGCCATCAGGATACGTGGTAGAAAAATCTGTGTGGTGGATTTTACACTGTACAAGTTGTCTGTGGGTATAATGCTTAAAAATCTGTATTAGCTATGGGATCAGGGAAATGAGGAAGGTGCTGAGGTGATATGTGTTTTTATACACATTCTGTATACCTGATTCATTTGATGGATACTGCTTCTAGGCTGCTTGATAGTAATAAGAGGATCATGCCTGAGAACTGGTGTGGCCAGAATTGGCTGTAGAATTTCAGGATACCTAAGAATACCACAGAACTGCTTACAGTTCTGTGCAGACCTTCATAAAGTGCTGAGCTGCTTCCTTGGCCGTTACTGTTTGGAGGAATTTGCTCTCATCAGTTACTAACAAGTCTGGTGATAGATTGCTTACTGAGGTGTTTGTAGGAAGTGGTGATACTCCACATCTGTGTAGTAACTGATGGCTTTTCATGATTGTTTTCTTTTTTGTTCTTTTCAAAATTATTTTTCATTGCCGCTTCAATAGCAATGCATTTTTTTTGTTTGTTTGTTTGTGTTTTTTTGTGCTTGTACAGTGGTGCAGTCCCGATGTTTTTCAAAGAAATTAGTTCTCTTGTGAA